TATATTTATTTCTAGATGAATAGTTTCTCACTCTACCGAAGTCCTACAGTGTTTGTTGTTTTTCAGGCTTGCGCTTAATCACCGCCTGATAACTATTTAAACATTTACAGAAAATATTTGTACTTAAGCAAATTAACAAAATAAAACAAACATTTGAGTCTGGAAAAGACCGGCGTGTTAAAATGTGAATTGTGTAGGAACCCTGGACGATTCCGGGACAACGTGAAGCTTTGCAGCTTTTAGCTTTTATTATATTCTGGTTGGTGCTGGACTTCTGAACATTTTCTCTGAGATTATATCAGGTCTGTACAAGCACCTGTGCAAGTAATAAAACATTTTACATACGTATTAATGATCTTTGCACTGTGACTAAAATTGTTCATTGATTATATTTGTTGTGAAGCTAATTTAACACTTAGTCCACCGCATACACGAGAACTGGAGGTTTCTTTAATCAAAATGTTTTTTATTGATGGATGATTGATGTGTAGAGATGGGGTTCTACTGCATCACGTTACCGTTGACTGTGGGTGATCATGGAGAAACTAGAAAAATTGCATTTCCTGTGAAAATGCAGTGTGAGTGCTTATTGCTGAAAAACAGCTGAAATTAGCTGAAAGGTAGCTGAAACAGAATAACAAGTCTAAGTTAGCAGAAGAAAGCAGAAAGAACACATATTTGTTAAATTTGGTTTCAATAAGCAGAAATGAACACAGAAATTCATAAATTAGCTAAAAAAGCTGAAAAGACAGAAAGAAGCTTAAAATACCAGAAGAAAGTGGAGAGAGCACATCTGTGCACAATTAGCCTTAAAGAAGCAGAAATGAACACACAAATTAGGAAATTATCTTTAAAAAATGGCAGAAATTTGAAAAAAATAGTAGCTAAAAAAGCTTAAAGAAGTTTCTATTACCAGAAGGAAGTTAAGAGCGCACATTTTTGCTGAATTAGGCTGAAAAAAGTTTAAATGAGTGCCAAAAATGTGGATTTAGCTGAAAATGCTGAAATTAGCACAAAAACAGCTAAATAGTACTGGTAGTTGAAATATCAGCAGTAGAAAAAGCTAAAACTTGCAGAAATAAGCTGAAAAGAGCATAACAAGTTGAAATTAACAGAAAGAAGTTAGAAGAAGCCGAAAGGATCAGAAAGCACAAAACAGCTGGAAAAAACAACTGAAAGTAGCTGAATTTTTTTAATGTGCATAAGAAGCTGAAAGAAGCTGAACCAGACCAAACTGTGAAAGAAGTGAAAGGTTGTAAACAGACGTGTTAAAATAAGTCAAAGGAACATTAACTCAGAAACTGATTCTTTTTTTGTTTTAGAATCAAATCAGTCCTTTGAGCTCCAATGAAAATGTTTTCCAAACTCAGCAAAACACGCTCCTGTTGCAGCAGCAAGCTTGGTTTGTAGAGGTCGTCCTGCTCTGGTTCGGTGGCGCCAGTGGGGTCGGCGTGTGACCACAGAAACGTGGCGCCGGCCCGAGTCCGCTCCCTCCTGCATCCTCTGCCAGCTCCGGACAAAATGCAACAGATGGCAGTTAGGAGGCACAGCGGGGAGGGCTGAACGTGAGGGCCAGGTTTGAGAGAAAGAAGGCGAATAAATAAAGACTTTTACATCCAGATGCAGATGGAGCGCGGCAGAAAATGAACCGTAAAGGACGAGACAAATGGGCCTTTCATAGGCACGTTTATTTAGACGTCTAAACGTCGATGAATAAAAAGATTACATTGTGAGCCAAATCGCATTTGTATCATATAAACTTACGATTGTTGAACCTGTTGAGCAAACAGAGGTTACTGTCACAGGAATGATTTTATACTTCCGTTCTTTGTTTACGACCATCATCATGTAAGACTTCTGAGGAAACGGCGTAATGCTGTGCTTCCCAACACTGGTCCTTGAGGAACACCATCCTGCATGTTTTAGTTGTTTCTCTGCTCCAACGCACAATTCAGTGGTTTCATTGCTAAGAAGCCTGTTAATCACCTTTTCATTCAAATCAGGTGTGCTGGAGCAGAGGAACATCTAAAACATGCAGGATGGCGTTCCTCAGGGACCACTGTTGGGAACCGCTGGTTTAATGCAATATTTAAAGTTTTTGAGAGCTCTGTTGGCTTCTTAAGTATGTGAGGCTGATTCTCATCATCAAATTTGAGCTTCGTCTTTGTAAAATTTACAGAGTTGGTCCCTTAGCTTTGGCGGACATCTTGAATCAGATTGACTCCAAATGTTCATCAGCTAGATGTTCATGATACATGATCTAATGATTGCTTTCCGTGAGTTTAATCAAAATTGGTCTTCTGGTCCACGAGTTATTTTGCTAACGCTACACACGAACGAATGGCGATAAAAAGCCTGAAGAGACATTTTGACTCGTCTTCCTCTTTTTGCACTGATTTCATTTTCTTCTTTATGCAAATGTGCAGCCTGAAGTTCTACCATGAAACAGCAGAAGTGATGAATTACTGACGCCTAACACTCTTTACTCATCGGCCTCTGAGCTGAAGTCACAGACGTGGTGGTAGATGTAAATGTGTTCAGGTTCACAGAAGATGCTTGTTTAGACAACTCTCAGCATCTCCAAACACAAATAAGAAGCTACTTGCTCTTTATGTGAGCCTTTCTAAATAAATATTTGTGTACTTTTAAAATCTGTCATTACCTCGACCTTCTTTTGATAGTCTCAGCTGCCCGATCCGTCTTTGTCCCACGCCGTATATCAGGCGCCCGCTCTTTTGAACGTTTTATCTTCTTTCATGTCAGGCTTTTGTGTCTGCAGGACTCCCAGGAGGACTCTTCCTTCAGCTCGCGCAGCTTATCTCCGTGCAGCTTTGGCTGGCAGAACATTTGAGGTTAGCGAAATATAAACGGAAGCAACGCCAAAGCATAAAAGTTTTAAAAAATAGTAGTTTTGTGAAATGTACTGTAGAAACGAGCGGTGCAGATTAAATGTCTGCCAGCCCATAATATTCAAATGAATGTATAAAATTATAGCAAGTGTCTCTGAGTTACACCCGGCTGATGAAGCAAGAGTTCATGTTGAATGTGGACGGGTATCGTCGCTGTTTCATGTTAAAGGATGATTTGCTGTAAAGGATTTTTTTTTACGATCATTTTCAACAGAAGCCTGCGTTTATCTCTTCGGCGTGGATTGTTTTATGAATCTATAACAGCGTTACTGGCAGCTGTCGGATGTTATTTAACACAATCTAGATCCTCGCATGCTTCTTGGTAGCTCTTTTACAAACGCGTTAAAGGCTTCGCTCGGTGCCTTCGTGCAGTTTTCTGGAACGGTTGCAAGATAAGCTGAGATAAGATCGAACTTTATTGATCCTGCAGGGAACAGTCATATCTCAGCTGGTGTACAAAGCACTACTTTAAAGAAACAATTAAGTTCTGACCGAATTGACAAGCAGTTTTGGCTATTTTATAAACCTTTACACGAACATATGATTATTATGGCAGAAATAAGGTGGAAATCCTACTGGAAATGCTACAGCTAGCTGCTGCCGT